TCAAGAAAAAGAGAAAGGAAGACCCAGGGAGCTACAGATCAGTGAGCCTCACCTCTATGTTGAGAAGATCATGGAGCAGATCATCCTGGATGAGATGTTAAACCACATGAGAGACGAGCAGGTGATTTGAGACACATCTTTACCAGGGCAGTTTGTACCTGATCAGTCTTGTGGCCTTCTTCAATGGAGTGACGGTTTTGGTGGATAAAGGAAGGGCAAACGATGTCATCTATCTGGACTTCTGACAGGCCTTTCATGTGGTCCTACACCACATCCTTACTTCTAAGTTGGAGAGATATGGATTTTGAAAGCTGGACTATTAGGTGGATAAAGAACTGTGGGATGATTATACCAGAGGATTATGGTCAACATCTCTATGTCCAGGTTGGAGGCCAGTGATGAGTAGTATCCCTCAGGGGTCCATCTTGGGACCAGTGCTCTTTGACATCTTTGTCAATGGTATAGGCTATGGAACTGAGTGCATCCTCAGCAAGACTGTAGATGATATTAGGCTGAATGGTACAGCTGACACAGTAGAAAAGAGGGATGCCATCTAAAGAGACTTGGACAGGCTTGAAAAGTGGGCTCATGTGAACCTAATGAGGTTCAACAAGGCCAAGTGTAAGGTGTTGCACTTGTCCTGCAGCAATTCCAGATATGTCTAAAGACTGGAAGAAGAACTCATTGAGAGCAGCCCTATGGAGAGACTCAGGAATCTTGGTAGATGAAAAGCTGGACATAAGCCAGTAATATGAGCTTGCAGCCTGGAAGGTCAACTGTATCCTGGGCTGCATCAAAAGAGGGGTGGCCAGCAGAGCAAGGAGGTGATTCTTCCTCTACTCTGCCCTCATTGAGGCCTCCTCTGGAGTACTCTGTCCAGGCCTGGGGCCCCAAGTAAAAGAAAGAGGTGGAGCTGTTGGATTGGGTGCAGAGGAGTGCTATGGATATGATCAAAGGGCTGGAGCACCTCTACTATGAGGGAGTTGGCCTTGTATGAATAAAGGTTGAGCAAGTTGGCCTAGGTTAGGTTCTTCACTCAGAGGTTTATGAAGCACTGGGACAGGTAGCCCAGAGAAGTTGTGGATGCCCCGTCCCTAAAGGCATTCAAAGCCAGGTTGGATGGAGCGCTGGGCAGCCTGGTCAGTGATCTTTCAAGCCCTTCCAACTTAAGCCATTCTATGAATCTATGATTCTTTTCAGACAAAATTATTCTGGATTAGTCCATCTTCTTTTGTAGGCCATTTATCTAAGACCCTTGATTATCTCCATTCCTCTTTTCTGCTTTCTCCAATCCTTCAAACTACAATATTATAACAACAATCAAATTGTGACCTAAGGATTTAGAAAGCTACAAGAAATAGAGTGGAAGTGAAAACCACAATATTGATGAGTTTTTTCAGCCTGAATCCAGTATGCCCCTTGCAACAATTTCTGTGCAAATTTTTCTTTTTAATGCATCCCCATTTCTCATGTCTGTAGCTGATTGCTGTTTTCTAAATGTAGTTACTAGTATTTGTTGTTGAAAATCATGCTATTTTTCCAGGTCATTTTTCTAATTTATCAAGATCAATTTGAATTTCATTCCTGTCCTTTGGAACATGTGCAGTCCCTTCGAGTCATTTAGAAATTCACTAAGAACACTGATGTAAATATTGCATGGTACAAGACATCTTTGGAGCTCCACAAATCAAATGATTTTCCCCTTACACCTTAGATATCTCCAGGTCACATTTCCTTGTCCAAATTAACGAGAACAAACTGCAAGACAGAGGCAAAAGACTTTCTTATCTCCTATGTATTTTTCAGGCACTCAGTGTTGCAGCTGGTATCAGGATGGATGACTTAAGGCACAGGAATGAAAAACACTGCTGCTGCTATCATTCCCTTTGGATGCTGCTCTTTGAGGAGCTCAGCCAAAACAGAAGAGCAGAGCCTTTGTATTCCAGCACATTGCAGAGCAAAAGTAAGAAGGAACATATGAAACCAAAGCAGTTTCTTCCTTTATGCTGGTTTTGGATTGCAAGAAAGAGGCCAAAATTCAGCCCTCAGTGGACAGTGGTGTGCATTCCCCACTGTTACTGGTGGAGGAAACATGCAAGTATTTCAGGGATAGTACTGGGGCATTTTCCTTAGGCACATGCTTTCTTTCTCCTGATCTTTATGATGCATATCTTTATAGATATTATCCTGAAAATCTCATTATCCAGCACCTGAGTCCGTTGAGCTCTCTTTGCCGTGGAACAACAGTGCTTCTTGTGGTTGTCTTATATGGTCCTCATTTATTAAAGCTGCAATTTGAAATTGTGTTACAAAAATGAAAAAAATATACCGTTCTGAAAATGCTTTCTGCATTTTAAATACTATAGGTGTTCTACTAGTCCCAGATTTTACTTTTCAGTACAGCCAAGACTTCCACTGATTTTAAAAGATGTCTTGACAGGGGAAGGATTGATGATGTGTTATTGATGCTTGCAAATTAAACCCTATTATTTTGCTTTGCCTCTGGTTTGCCATTATCTCAGTGGAATTCTCACCTGCTTCTTCCAGATGCTGCCAACACAGATTCACAGGAGCTCTACTTACTTCTAAAGTCTCAGTTAACATCATTCTATGAAGCTGCTTGTTTTCATCTTACTGCCATCAGTTGAAGAGAAACAACAACAACAACAGAAAACAGCACTCCTCTTTTCAACAGCTCATTAAATCTTATTAAAATACATGCGTGCAAAATAGGTAAATTAACTCCACAAATCCTCTGTGACAGCGTCCAGCTTGACAGACTTTCTTTTTTCTATTTTCTTTACTTTTAGTAGCAAGCTACCAGACTGGTGAGAAAGGATACTTAAGTGCCTCTTTCTTTTCTGCCAGCTTCGTTTAATTTGAGACTTTACTAATTCATGCAAAAGGATTCAATTCTTTACTCTGTAAATCAGTGACTCCACAAATGTTTTCCCTTACAATAGCTAAAAGAAAGCAAAATCAAAGCCCTGAACTTGCCTGGTTTTAGGAAAAGTATTTCTGTTAAACTCAACAAATACATTTTAAGTGTTTCTAGGTAATTTTTTTCCCCCAGTTTTCCTACATATAGATTAGTATTCTATATGTGTCAGCTACCAGAACCTTCACAAAAGAGCAGCTTGTGTTTCTCTAGTTTACAAAGAACAAATAAGAATGACTGATTCCCAAAGCAGCAGTTCTGATAAGAGTAGCTGTTTAAGTGAAATATAGATGGAATAAAAGACTGCCATCTGCCTTCCTGTTTTAATTTTTGTGTTCAATTCTGAGGGCCTGTGTCTATCATTTATGCATATACACACATATGAATCATAGCTGCAGGGAAAATGGGGTGTACAGGAGCATTATCAATTTAATAAAACACAGTAAAGCATGAGAAGAAAAATAACTGCTGTTATTTTTAAAGGGACTTTTATCTTTTGTTTGAACTTCAAACAGAGCTATTGCTAAGAAACCCAGACTTAATTTACTTAATTGCAATTCCTTCACAAAATCACCCACAATCAGCACTCCCTGCAGGATCTCTGACACAATCAGCTGAGATTTTTTGTTGCTGTTTGCTACTTGGGCATGTGTTATAAAGTTATTCATTCTTTGCCATCCACCTCCTTTCCTCATTATCTCTGAAGAGGAAATCAAGATGAGAAACATAATTGCTGCAAATTGGTTAATTTATAGCTGTCATTTTCTTCTGTGACTCCTTTGAGCAAAAGAGCACAATTCATCACCGCATTGCTCAGAACATTCACAGCTTCTCAGTATTATTACTTCCTAGCGCTTACTCAGTTAATATTTGGGCTTACCAGAGCTGAAAAGAAAAACTTGAAAGCCTTTGGAATTAGTCCTGGCATAAATGCCAACATCATGGCACAAAATCTTCCAGAACATGTGATTTGGTTGTGCTGCTGTCCAGCATCGCTTAACACTGACACTGCATCCAGCTCCTCCACCACCTCCTGCCTGGACTCAGGGGAGATACTTTATAGCTATAGACAAGGGGTTGCCTGGTTGTGAAACATGTCATTTTCATTCTGAACACAGTAGCACAGAATACCATGAAGAATATTGGACACAATATTTCACTTATGGAGTCTAGATTTTATTTTTTTTTATGCCTGGAGCATTAGGTCACTAGAACATTTTAGCGAGAACCCAACATTTGTCTTCAGTTATGAGTATATGTACACATACTTATCAACGAACAAACAAACAAACAACAAAAAACAACAAAAAGACCAATAATAACAACAACAACAAAACATCAGAAAAACACGTTTTTCTGTCTTTTTTTTTTTTTTTTTTTCCCCTGTAATTTAAGATCTAAGAAGAAATTTGGCAAAACTAATGAGTCCTTGTCAGTTTTGCCAATTCCCTGACTTAGAGGAGAAAAAGGCTACAAGTAGTAACTGTGAATGACTAATAAATCTGAAGCTGGATAAAATAGCAAGCACTTGTTGGATAAGCCTTGAGCTCAGGTGAAGGGAATGAATATCTCTCTCACTACAAGAATGTAATAGTCCCTTACTGCTTTTCATCATTAGCAAGATCTTATAATCTTGAGCAAGATTATAGACCAGTCCTCACAATATTTCCTTAAATGGCAAATTGAACAACTAATGTTTCAAGCTATTCTCTAAACTGTGTCCAGTGCACAAAGACATTTCCTGGTAGCTGTTGTGGGTGGATGTAACTGTGAGCAGGATGAAAAAAAGAGGCTCAGGCTTGCCATGCTCTTTAAACTTCAAATTTAATTGTATCTTGCTGCTGAGATGCATGCAGCTTCTTAAAACTGTAAATAGAGACTTGCTGCTCAAACAGTAGCTGAAGCATGCTGATGATTTCATCTGGTGACAGCAGCTAGTATCAAAGATTAGTCACTGCTATTGAGAGTATTTGTTGAGAACCCCCTTTTTATACTTGCAGATTAGAAAGGTTTACCAGCTGTCAAACTAACCTAAACAAACCATCCAGTTGCAACAGTTTCCAAAAATGTTCTAGACCCAGTTTATCACAAGCTTCTTTCAGGTGCAACAAGATGTAGAAAGGCAAACAACTCCTTTAAGACTGTTTTTATCAAAGCAAACTAAGCTGATGAGGAACCGTGAACATTAGTAGCGATTTCTGTTCAATTCTAACTAGGCTGCATTAAAATGTCTCCAAATGTATTTACATTATATGCAGTATCATAATGTTCAAGGCTTAAAATTTTAACTTACGGGTTTGGGTGTCTGACAATTTTCATGTTTAATGAATCTGTCCAACTTGGCAATTTCCCATTGATGATCACAGAGTTTGTGCATGCCCTTAGGTATTTATATCCATAAAATTGATAGTGTGTGAAATGCCTTATATTTGACAAAGCATGTCTGTTTTATTTTCTTCTGAAATGACATGATTATTCCTGCAGGATCCATGATCAGTTGAAGATTTCAGATTCTTCATGTTGAGGAATCCTATATGTTATTTCTGACAACCAGTGTTTTATTTTTCTGGAGGATTTGGAGTCTGGTGGCAGTATTTTCTTTAAGTCTCGCACTGGAAACCACCTGAAACAGGGATTATTTTTGTGTTGTGTCACAATTGAAACAATAACTTAGAAAAATTGCTGCAAAAATGGGATTTTCCTTTAATTGTACACAATGTAGTGGTTTGCTAAAAATGCATAGAGAAATTAAAGCAAAAACTAGTAAGAGTAAACATGACAGAAAATTGTTTGCTATGTCCAAAAAGAAAGGAACAAGAGACAACAAAATTAAAAAGTTAATTAAAAAAAAAAAGGGGGGGGAGGGGGGGATACTTTTGTTGTTCAAGCACATCTTTTAAAATATCATTCTTTTTAAAAATTCTCTTTTGTTTCAAATACCATTAACAATGTATTTAAGTAAAATTGTCATTCATTCATTTGTCAATAACTACTTAAAAACCTGAGTGCTAAAAAGACAGGAGAGCAAAATATGGAAGGCATGCATATGTGAAAGTAAAACCAATTCAAATTATTTTGGATATAATCTGAGGGTTCACTGATGGGACAAAAAATCTTGTGAAGGCCTCTCAGTCCAGCCACAGTTAGGAAGAACAATGGTATTGTCAACCTCTCTGAACTGCTCTGTCATTTATGAAATGGGCTACAGTAAAAATTCAATGCATCTACACTATCTGTATCTGCTCAAATTCACCAAGCTGTTGAAGGAAAATTGCTTGTGTCCTTTCTAAGATGACTTTATTGTCAAACGTAGCAAACCCAGGAGTTTTTCTCAGGCTTCCTTTTAAACAGTTCCCCTCAGCATTTAAAAATAAACTGTATTCAACTTTGGGGCTTCAGCATAAGAAGTGCTTGGACCTCTTGGAACAAGTCCAGAGAAACCCATGAGTATGCTCAGAGAGCTTGAGCTCCTCTTCTATGAGGAAAAGCTGAGGTAGCTGGACTCGTTTAGTCTGAAGAAGAGATGGCTCTCAGGAGACCTCATTGTAGCATTTCAGTACTGATGGCCTGCAAAAAAGATGAGGAGGGGCACGCAGTGAAAAGACAGGGGTAATGGCATTCACCTAGAAGAGGATAATAGGTAGATGGTTGTGAGCAGATGGTAGTGAGGCACTGGCACGGGCTGCCTAGAGAAGCTGTGAATGCCCCGTCCCTGAAGGTATCCAAGGATCGATTGGGCTGGGACACTGGGTAACCTGGTCTAATGGGTGGCAACCCTGCCCAAGATATGGATTTGGAATCAGGTGTTCTTCAATGTCCCTTCTATCTTAAAATGTTCCAGGATTCTATTAAAACAACGTTTTTTTAAAGTGGATGCCATTTTGAGATGGCAACTACCAAGCCGTCTTATTGCATTGTGGTTTCTAACACAGAGGATTAGTCTGGACTTGCTTGTGAATACTTTTTTAGCAGGTGAAAGGGATAATTTGTTCTCCTGTTAATGTGCAGCAATAGTTACACTACAGCAGGTACTAGTTCTCAATATTTTTCTGCTGTTTCTTACTATCTTTTCTGCCCATTATTTTTTTCTGCTGTGTCAAAACTCTCTAAAACAGAATGGAAATAGCAAGTACTGCTCATCGCTTGTCTTTGGAGTATAAGAAAAAATCCTAATCTCAAAGGTTCAGAGTTGCTTTTTGTAGCAAATCTGTTAGCCTTTTTCTCTAATACTCTGTTCCCCAATTGTGTTAGAGACTTGTATATTTTAAACATTTTTTCTCCTGCATATTGTCCTGCTATCATTCTCTAGGGATCGGCCATCTTTTTGGCTGAAGGATGCTCAATAGCCTAGCAGTCCTTTTAGAGGCAGACTGAGGGAGGACTACTGCCCAATGTAAAGTTCTGGCTACGTGGATTATGCTTATCGCAAAGGTCTTAGGACAAGTGCTGGAGGCACCTGGACCAAGCATCAGCAGTGTAAGAAATAAGATGTAGATTGTTCACTGTCCTTTGTTTCAGTGATTGTTACTGCTGCCTGTGTGCTCCAGAATGCACTTTTGCCTCCTTTCAGCCAAATTGGTCTTTTTTTTTTTGAAAATTCTAGCCTGAAGAAAAATAAAACAAGCAACAACAGCAAAGAATATTACAGAGTTCTACATAGACAAAAAAATATGATACCTTTCACACTGACTGGTTTGGAATTCCTTCACAAAACATTTCGAATTACCTGAAATCTCAAGCAACATTTGTCAGATGTTGCTGATGACTCATTTTCCAATGGAAAGGGTTTTTTATAGAAGAAGTTTCATTTGACAAGACGTAGATAGTTTGCAGGGGCATTGTGGCTTCAGATACACTTTTTAAAAGCCTACATAGGATTTTTTAATCAGTTTGCTTACCTACTGTCTTGACATCCTGTCTGGGGCACCTCTCTACTGCTACCCTCATCCTGGCTAAATCTTTTGCATCATTCTTTGCCTTTCTTATTGGATGTTGTTTCTAAAATTCTATTCAAGAAAAAAAATGACATTTTAAAAATTTTTGTTATGACATACAGTAAATTTTCCTCCCCAAAAGGTGTTTTCTTTTTCCATTACAGAAACCGATAGCATCTTCATCACTGCTTTTAACCTTGTTTGAAAGTTTCTTTGTACCACTTTTAATGTGCTTGTGGTCCCACATCTCTGTTCATCCTTGGAGCTTTCCAGCTTCACTTTTGTCCCAAAGTTCTCTGTCCTCAGGATACTTCATTCTTAAATCAGCTTTAATATTTAGAAAAGATGAAGATTCTCCCTGAATCTAAGGTCCAGAAAAACTGAAATTACGTGTGTAAATTTGACAACGTAGAATCATAGAATCATAGAATTGCTTAAGTTGGAAAAGACCTTCAAAATCATCAAGTCCAACCACAACCTGATCATACTACCCTAACTCTAACAACCCTCCGCTAAATCATGTTCCTGAGCACAACATTCAAAAGGTTTTTAAACACATCCAGGGATGGTGACTCAACAATCTCCCTGGAGAACCTATTCTAGTGCTTAATGACCTTTTTTCTGTAAATAAGTTTCTCCTGATAACCAATTTAAACCTCTCCTGGAGCATCATCATCATTGCTTTCCACTGAGGTCACTATTCACAGAAGTGATGGTGATCATTTTGTCTAGCAGGTATCAGATATTTATTCAGCCCACTGTCTCAGTTTGGGTATCTTAGTGACACATTTTGACAAGTGGGAACAGTCTGTGGAAGTTGTTATATAACATTTCCAGACTCAGAGACAGTTTGGCTGTTAAAGCGGGGCTCAGAGTTATTGATAACAGACAAAGTGAAAATAGCTAGTGATTATAGACTGCTTAGGAAAAAAAGAATTAAAAATATCAAGGCTTTTTGTCTGACCGAATTTTCACCTAAGTTACATAATAATGTGCAGGATGAACATAGGCAAAAGAACATATCATGCATGCTTGAAATCAGGACTTAAAGGATATGCTTGCACATGCTTCCTCAGGCTCCAAGTCACACATGTTTTCATAGATTTTATAGATGAAAATTTTACAAAATCAAATGAGAATACAATGAAAGTATTCCAGGTTGGTTTGTTGTTATTGTTGTTGGTTTTTTTTCTTTTCTTTTTTTCTTCATATATTGTTTTCCCAAGGAGACATTCAGTTTCTGATCAACATACTTTCTATCCCAAGTACCTATGGAGTGGTGAAGTGACAAAAACAGTAATAGAGAGAAGGCAGAGAAGATGCTGGTACTAACTTTTTTACTTCAAAACTGAGTGATAATAGAATTCTGATGTTCATACATATTTCTGTACAAATTAGCCTAAAATGAAAAAAGTAAACGACACTGCATTCAGGATTACTTGTTAAATTCTATTGTAAAGAGTGGCTGCATGTTTGTTTATCTCATAAACTTCTCTGACATAAAACTAGTGTTCCTGGAAGATTTCAGTTTAGAAAAGAGGCTTCACTGCTGAGAGCAGCTTTTTTTTCTTCCCTCCTTTTATTTTATTTTTTCTCTTCCCTCCCCCCTCTTTTCTTTTCAGTCTAAGGATAGGATAAATCCTCAGTGATTAGCTTCATTGCCAGCAACAAGCCTGATTCTTTAATGTAGCTGCTCTGCTCTTTAGCTTTGTTTTCATTATTATTTGCATTGTGCAGCAGATGACTAAGAGATAGTCAAAAGATCAAAGGTTTCCTTTGATGGTTTATATCACGGATCCCTGCTGTATTAAAAAGGATCTCAGGTCAGGACATTCTTGTTCACAAGCAAATCTGAACAAGGGGCTGCACAGGGTGATCAAACTGGATGAAGGCTAAACACATCCATCAAAGGGTTGACCATGCTGGCCCAAACATAAGAGGAGGTTCTACCTCCATAGCCATGACATTAACTAGGGACAGATGTCTCCCTGTGGCTTCTGCTTTGATGTGTCAGGAATAAGAGAACAGAGAACGTGGAGGGTTTACACATTCCACATTACTCTAGAAGTGTTTTATAAATATACTGTATTTGCAACAAGTAATTTCTAAAATAAAGAAGTCTAGAAGAACACTGATTTGCCAATCTTGCATAACCAAGCCAGGCCAAGTCAAGATAACTATCTCTTACAGAGTGCATTTAATGCTGTAAACACATAGTAAACAGTAATGAACTAGTTGTCAAAGAACGTCTGTGAATAATATACTGGAGAGATATTGGAGCAGGAAGTAAGGCCTGGCATACTGATGACAGGCAGATTTAGCTTGTCCACTTCCATTTTTTAATCTCCTGGCAGTAAGCTAAAACAATTTTGTATGCTCCTTTGTGCTTGTGAGACAAAGCAATGACATTTTCATACCAGCTCAAGTCTATCAGCCAGGTTGTTTCTGCAGCAGGCCTGACAAAGCCCCTGCACCAAGCATGACACTTGCTGAGCGGCGCTCATGCTGTGGAACACGCATGTGGAAGGCCCCTCTTCTCCCTGACTCATTTGCCAGGCATAGCAACCTGCCCCAGCCACAAACCGCTGTGCAGCTGCAATTTTGTTGCAGTTTCATGAAGAAGGGAACTAAGACAGCCTAAGCAGTCTGGAAGAGATGGAAGAAATCCTGTGCAGAACGGATAAATACC